GGTTTTCCTCGAATTGGGTTGAGATTTAAAGGATACATCTCTCCCTTGCGTTCAGACTTCAATAAAACTCTTTTGGATTTCTTCTCAATTATTTATGATCCCTCATCATCGAATGAAACCTTCAAACCAGTTCCCACAACCAATTATGATACACTGATGAGGTTATGCTGCAACCCTTCCACATAAGCTACTTTTCGAATCGAGAAGTCTTCGTTGGTTATCATTCCATATCCTTTGATTATGCCATAAGAGTTATTTCCATACTTCACACATCCACCATCCTTAAGGGACCGAAACTCCCTCAGCTCTTCCCTCCTTCCTGTCATGTGACGCGAGCAGCCACTGTCTATGTACCATTCGTCATCGAACTTCTCGTCACTTATAACCTGCAAATTCAAGCAGATTTAGGAACCCAAAGTCTCTTGGGCCCTGGTGAGTCTTTTACAGAAAAAGGAATAGCAGTAGAAATATCAACCAAATAAGTTCTTTTTATTAGAGTGGTTTGGTCTTTTCTTTTGATGGTATACACCTTGATTTTGTTTTTATCTTATTTAAATTGTGGTGTATTAGATGGTGTGTTGTTAGATGGTTTTGGAATATTCTTGTGAATCCTAGGGTTAGCTGACTTTTTCTTATTATTGATATCAGAATCTGAATCAAGCTTTCCCTTTCCTTTGATGTCCTTCGCTGAATTCGGTTTTCTTTAGGAGTAGGAAGGACCGAAACTTGACTTTCGGTTGTTAGCCTTGGCGTTGTGACCGAAACTTGATGTTCGGTTCTGAGCTTTGGAATAGTAGGAGCTTGGACTGAAATTTTCTTTTCCTTTTGGCTTGTCCTTTTCTTTGACAATTGACTCTTTCTTGGAAGGAACGTAGTTAGGGTTTTGAGATTGCCAATACCGTTTTTGCTCGTTCAGATTTTTCATGTATCTCTGATTTCTTTGGCGTTTCTGTTCAGCTAAGTCCTTTTGAGATTTATAATATTGAAGCTTGATTTTGGCTTCTCCTTTTGAGTTTCGGTTGTCTTAGTAGGAACATTCGGTGTTTTCTTTGGTTCTTCAGGTATCTCTTTTGTTCCACTTGTGCTTGGTTTGTCAAAACTTGAGGGTTTGTTGATGGGTTCAGCAACATATCTACCTTTTACCCTCCATGAGGTTTGCTCCGATAAGCCGACGGTTTCGTCTGCGTTATCAATAGGGGCTGACTAGAAATAATCGTCGCACCCTTCAACATTGTCTGTGTCGACCAAGATTTTCAATTCAGCTGTTTGTTTTGCAGTGACCCCTGTAACAGCATATACCTGATTTGGCACAGTTTAAACCTTTTGATAAACCATTGCTTTCTCTTTGAGTTTATGTGGCTTGTCCTTTGACAGGCGAGCGTATTCAACCAAATTTTCAGATATGAGGGGTTTCTCATTCTCGGTTTCGCTCTTCATAAATTCAGAGCAATCAACCACATCTTCTACCGAGATTTCGCTCATCTCACTTTCCTCATCAAATTCAGACGTGTTTTCTATGTTCATTTTATGTTCTGAAATTAATTTGGTGTTAGACGAGTCAAATGATTGAATGGTCTCGGACTTAATTTTTAACCTATCATTTTCATCTAAAAGATTTTTGAGCATACACTTATGTTCCTTAGAGTCAATGAAGGTCTCTATGTTGTCTAGTCCGATTTTATAAGAGATGGATGTCTCTTCTGAGGACATTATGGATTCACATTCAGCGATGACCTCATCCTCCTTAAATTCAAGGAAGGGTAAGATCATCTTATGAATCTTTTTCCCTATTTCACAACTTAAGTGCAACTGAGCAATATTTGTATATAAACGTTTAGCAATTAAGCAAAAAACATTCCTTTGTTTCAAAAACTTTAAATTATCTCGTTGCAAATAAATAATTTCATCCCTAGCCCTATTTAACTCCGTCTCCTTCAACTCAATCCACATCCTTCTCTCCTCACTCTTTGAAGACACCCTGCTGAGTTGGTCAGTTAGGTTAGAGTTCGCTAAGCGAGTTTGCATGAGACTACCACTTAAGTTAGAAAATTTAAATTTTAATTCATTTAATTCTTCTTCATAATTTGTTACTGAACTTTAAGTGATTCAAGGATGGATTGTACCTTTTTGATTAGCCGATCACAGTCGTTGATCTTCTCACTCACGGGCTTGGCTGCAAAGCACTTGTCCTCAGTCAGGTTCGGCTCCTTACACTCACTTTCGGTTGGTCTGTCAGCTGTAACCATCAAACATTTTCCAGCCGAACCTGTATCCCTCGCCACATAAGCTCTTCCATGTGTGGGCTTTCTCACTTCTTCATCCTCATAATCGGTTGACCAGACTTCAACGCCACCGAACTCATCTTCATCCACATTTTCCTGCACAATCAAGGCATTCATTGAGCTGTTAGTTGCCTTCTTTTTCTTGATTTCTTCCAACTTTCGCATGTAATATGCCTCATCATCTTCACCATCTCTTTTCTCAGCCATCTTCCTCAGCATGCAATCTTTGGCAAAGTGGTTCTTTCCATGACAGTAATTGCAGTCGAATCCAGAGTCTCCTGCAAGCTTGCTTTCCTTCTTGTCGTCATCCTTTTGAGAAGTATTCTTCGTTTCTTTTTTTCACCTTCTCAGAATTGTAACTTCCTTGCCAGTTTCGGTTCTTATTGACATGGAACTTCTTTCGTGCAAACTTCTTTGGATTGGTGACCATCATAGCATATTCTTCGCTTGTAAGGTCACACTCAGACATATCTGACTCCTCCTCTTCTTCTGCAACACTTTTTCCTTTTGAGACAAGGGCCAACGATCCCACACCCGAAACTACCTTCGCCTCCTTGGTTACCACACTCTCATGGGATTTAAGTATGCCCACAAGTTTCGCTAGTGAGTAAGATTTAAATTGTTCGTGAGCTTTCACTGTTGAAACCACTGCCATCCATTCTGGTCTCAAACCATTCATGAAGGTTACTTTTTTGCTCGATCAATTTTCTCTCTATACCATGCTTGATCATCTTGCTTAGGAGATGATTGAAGCGATCGAAGGTTTGTATCAGTTTCTCTTCAGGTTTCTGTTCGAAAACTCCAAATTCTGAGAGCAGCAAGGTTTGAATAGAGTGTTCTAGATCTTCATCGGTTGAGTAAAGTTCCTTCAACCTATCCCAGATTTCTTTAGTCGTCGTGCATGAACCAACTAACCGAAAAGTGTCAGATTGCAGTGCGAATATGATCATTCTCATGGCTTTCACATTACATATCAGCTTGTCTTTTTCATCCTGTGGCATCTTATCTACGTCCGCCACAAGCTTATTATATTCTTTTTGAGTCTTCACTGTCGTGTTCGTTCTAGAGTGAACAAACGGCCCAAGTGTGATTGCTTCCCATATGAGATAACCATTATCTTCAAAATCCAACCACGTAATCTTCAAAGTGATGCGCCCATACTTCATAGTCTTGAGTGTAAAGAATGGGAACCCTTGTAGTGGATCCAATGTTGTTAGAGATGTTGATGAGATTAGTTTGAGAATCTTCGTGAGACATGGTGAGACTTTCCTTAGAACCGCTAGAATCAGACCTGTAAACTTGAGATTAGGGTTTTATCAAACACAAGAGTTACCGTCGACAGGAAGAAGACGGCTTCTTTATATTCGATAAAAGCGGAAACCCTAAAGAATTCTTAACACAGAAGGAATGTGTATTGATCACACAGTCTCCTGCTCTGATACCAATTGTTAGAACAAAGTTCTAGTAGGATCGATAGATTCTAAGCAGAAAAACAATTAAAGACGTAATGAAGAACACAAGAATGGTTTAACTGATGTCGAATGATTAAATTTTAACACCTTAGAAGAGCTCGATTAAGAACTTCGACTGTAGAGGTGTTTAGGGTTACAAAGAAATAATAACAATAATCACGACGGTATCTAAGGCATACATGCATGCACTATTTATAGCTTAACCCTACATAATAATCACGGATGGACAGCCCCATTCTGGATATACAATACTAAGCCCATGACGCAACATAACATACCCAACAATACTCATATGTACGCCCAACGTACTCGGCTGCCACCTTTCTCAATTAGGGGACTTATCCTGCCAAAACTTCAAACTGTCATAACTTCCTCGTTATATGTCCGTTTCCGATGATCCTCATATCCATGAAAAGGTGACGAGAAGCCCTACGCTTCTAGCAACTCGTCGCAGCCCCAAGGGTTCCTCATGCCCGGGTTGCAGCCCACAAACCCTAAATCACGGAAAATCCGGAACAGGATGTTACAGAACGAAACATGTTGAGATGGACTGTTTTTTTGTTCATGAAATAGTAGAGTCGTTGGAGATTGAACCTCTTCCCATTTCTTCCAATATGTAGATTGATGATCTCCTCACTAAAGGCTTAAGGGTTGAACAACTTCGTTTTTTTCTTGACAAGTTGGGCACTCGTAATCCTCATGCTCCAGCTCAAGGGGGAGTATTGGATTTAAAAGATCCTCTTATCGGTTCTAGATATAGATTGATACTATCATTTTTTATGTTCACTTATTTCTAGCTTTGATTTGTTATCCCTTGTATAAAAGGCTTTGCCTCTTTGGAATTCAGTAGATGAAATATTACGTACCATGAAATTTATCACAAAATTCGCCGGATTCAACTGTAATTTCTATTTTTATTATACTTTAGGAGGTACAACTTTATACATTAAACAACTTTCTGCAAATAGTTATTTTTGATTTTGAATATATTTGGACTCTTAAAATACAAATTATTGGTTTCCATATTGATTTAAACAAATACCCACGAGTATTTTAATTGTATAATTGTATTTGGTGCACAAGGCACGAGATTATGCCTAGTGATTTTATAGAGTTCGAAGAAAATTATTGCATCAACAACTCTTGGATATAGTTCAAAAAGGGCTATTTCGTTATTATTATATAGTTTAGGGTGTAATTACTATCTATTATGAAAAGTACAAGGGGACTTTATATCCTCCCGTTTAAAGAACATACTAAAATCCGTCGCTATTTGGGGAACGAGGGCGCCGGTGTACGAGCACGGCAATACACTCCGCAACTTATCTAAGAACACCGAAGAAACACCATGAACACCGTCATCTCTCGGTTCATCATTCACAGTCTACTACCTCAAAATGCTCCGAGCTTCACCAGGCTTCACGTCCACTTCATATCATCTCCTCCTCGTCGGAGATTCGGCACAGTTGCTGTTTCCCATTCTCCCGACGTAATTCCCCCCTTCTGCTGTTTAACATTCCCTATTTTCTTAAAATAAATAAAAATCAAACAAACTGTTACCAATTCGCATTGTTATTTCAGAGCAAAATCATTACCTCGATTCGTATCGTTTTTTAGTGAACTGATACCCAATTTCTGTGTATGATTGATGTAATAGGTTAGCGACGAGAGGATGGTGGTGGTTGGTGGTGGAGCTGCTGGAATATATGGAGCAATTAGGGCTAAGACTTTGGCTCCCAATCTTAACGTTATCGTGATTGAAAAAGCAAAGCCCTTGGCAAAGGTTTGTGCAATTGATTTCGTTACAATTTTCTGAACTTTCTTCTGGTTTTAGCATATAAACCGATGAACTTTTTCTCTTGTATAAGGTCAAAATATCAGGAGGTGGTCGTTGCAATGTCACAAATGGCCATTGTCCCGATAATAAGGTGAGTTTGATATACCCAAGTATTGCATATTTGATCCATTATCACCATGTCTGTGTGATTTCTGATCTCCTATCAAGTATATACATCATTCAAGTGATTGAAATTTAACATTTTTCTAGATTTTGGCAGAAAAATACCCAAGAGGTAGTAAAGAATTCAGAGGTTCATTCTTCAATGTTCATGGTCCAGGTGACACCATGTCCTGGTTTTCTGATCATGGTGTCAAATTAAAGGTAGGCATTGAAGCTTCTTAAGTTTAATGATATTATTATTAATCATTCATACAATGCATAGTTTCCAGACTAAATTTACAATCTTGTCCTTTAGATTGAGGAAGATGGAAGGGTCTTCCCTGTGACTGACAATTCATCTACAATAGTTGATTGCCTTTTAAATGAAGCAAGACAAAGAGGAGGTATAACTTTTTTGTTCTTATAACTATAATATTTCTATACTTTATGTTTATTTGTTGGTATTCATATATTAACATTTTCACATTTTGTCTGTTAAATTAGTTACACTGCAGACAGGAAAATCTGTCACATCAGCTTCTATTTCTCAAAGTGGAAAATTTACACTCAAAATTGAGAAACGTACAATTGATTATGTGGATTTTGTTGAAGCTGATTACTTATTAATAGCTAGTGGCAGCAGTCAACAGGTTTTTTTGTTAACACTTTTTGACATATTTATTATATCAAAATATGATGATTAAATTTTTTTCTAAGTCATGATTGTTTTGTTACAGGGTTATAATCTTGCTAATCAACTTGGACATTCTGTAATTAAACCAGTGCCAAGTTTATTTACATTCAAGATTGATGATATCCAGTTGACAGAGTTATCTGGGGTATAAATTATAGTTTATTATGATTATATTAAAAAAGTAAATACCATTTTTTTTATTTAAAGAGAGTGAGACTTTTAAACTTTTTTTTTTCAGATTACATTTCCAAAAGTGAAGGCAAGTTTAAAGCTTGAATCTTTGAAGAAGAACATTCCACAGCTTACCCAAGTAAGTTTTTCTCATGAATTTTATAAAAAACTTATAAATTTATAATACACAAATAAATAAAAATACATTGCTATTTCTTGCATTTAGGTTGGGCCAATGTTAGTCACACATTGGGGACTTAGTGGGCCCGTAATTCTTCGTTTATCTGCTTGGGGGGCTCGTGATCTCTTTGATTCCAATTATAAAGGCAAGTAACCAAATAACCAATTTCTTTATTCTTTATTTATTTATTTATTTTAATTCTATAACTTTACTTACTTTTCAATTTCAGGAACACTTCTTGTTGACTTTTCTCCCGATCTTTCAAACGAAGATATAAAGGCGTTACTATCTCAACACAAAAAACAATTTCCGGTATTTTTTATTCATAAATCTTTAAACTAAATTCAACATTTTTTTTAAAATTTGGTTTTATATTTTATGTTGGTATACATTTTGCAGAAACAAAAAGTAGGTGGTTCATATCCTCAAGAATTTGGGATCATGAAACGATTTTGGAAATATTTGTTGAATCGTGAGGTTTGTATGATTATTTTAATTCAAAAAATGCGAATTATATTACGAGAAATTCTTATAAATTTTTGTGTGTAGGGTATTGATGAAGATATATTATGGGCTTCCATTTCAAATAACTCATTGATGTCGATTGCTACTTTATTAAAGCAATGCTCTTTTATAGTGAAAGGAAAGGTACCATATAAGTCAAAATTGGTCAATTTTGTTTTTGTTTTTTTTTGTTTTTTTTTTTTTTTCAATTCAACAAGTTAATATTTTTGTCATAGTATTTGTTTTTGTAATCCTATTAAGTATTTGAATTAATTTAGGGCCAATTCAAGGATGAATTTGTTACAGCTGGAGGTGTTCCATTATCTGAGGTGCCTCTCTCTCTCTCACACACACACACACACAAACACAGAGTCACAAGTTGTAACACAAATTGGTGATCTTAATGAAGATTTCACTGAAAACAATGGAGAGCAGGATTCAATCGCGTCTGTTCTTTGCTGGAGAGGTAATTAATGTTACTTCATGGATTTTTTTTTTTGGATCATCAATGTTCTTGAATTGTTCATTTTCCCAATTTTATATAAGAATTAGATATTCAAGTTTTAGATGAGAATAGATTTCATGTTCTAAAAATCTGTGATATTTATCTATTATGCAAATTCATTTAAGTCTCATGTGTAGGTGCTGAATGCTGATGGGATCACTGGAGGTTTTAATTTTCAGGTAAAACCTACAACTAGAAAACAAGCTTTCTAGTTTTATTTATTAATTACAAGGATGAGGGCATTTACGTCTTTTACATCGACAAGAGAATCGAGTGTGACTGTGCGGGTCCCACCTTTTTTGACATTAGTCTCTGTCCTGGTCCCGGTCTAATGCATGTCAAACACAGTCTGTCATGTCGTGTCATATCATGTCCTGTGTAATAAACAAATGTGCCTGAACTCTTTTTCACCGCAAATTCATTTTTTTTTTGGCTACAGAATGCTTGGTCAGGTGGGTATATAGCAGGAACAACCATAGGCCAGCTGGCGACCAGTGCCACATCAGCACCTACTTTGAAGCAACAAGCGGCATGAGGGTGTAAAACAATCCACATTTTTGACCTGTAAGTTGTATTGTTCTTAGCTTAGCTTTAAAACAGTTGCTAGATAACAGATAACAGATAACAGATATCAGATAACGTACCTTGGATGAAAATACCACAAAATTACTAAAAACTCCCTCGTGTGTACATGAAAGGAATATACAAGAAGTCGTGTGGCATGAAAATGGCACTTGTTTCTGTCACTTTAATTTCAACCACCCGAATTTATAATATCCAGTTCCAAGTGCCATCTTTCCTGCGACACGACCCCTTTATCTCCTATTTTTCTTCTTCTATTTTTATAACAAAACACACACACACACACAAATCATTCTCTCTCTCTCTCTCTCTCTCATTGTGGAGATCTATGGAAGAAGAGAGAGAGAGAGAGAGAGAGAGAGGTATATGTAGGGAGGTGATGAGAGTTGGCTTCTAATTTGTTTTGAATAATGATGAGCATATATGGTTGACTTTTGACTCGACTCTCCTTTTGTTTTCTTCTTGCATGCATTGACAGTTTTGTGTTAATTTATTTATTTATTTTGTTAGATCATCTTTCTCTTTCTTGATGTGAAATGTGGTATAAAAGGGTCAGTGAAGTTTTAAATCAAATTAAATTTGAGTAAATTAATTTGTTTCTTCAAATCATCGTCCTTTTTTTTTATGTGAAATGTGGTATAAAAGGGTCCCACTTGCATTAAACCATATAGTTGGTAACAAAATAAATCCGGTTAGGCCTATCGTGTCTTGGTCCTCAATGTTATGTTCAGTACCTAACAATATAAATTTGAGTAAATTACAAATTTGGTCCCTATTTTTTACGCAAAATTGCAAGTTCAGTCTTGATTTTGAAATTGTCTCGCTGTTGTCCTTAAGTTTGTACTTCATTGCGGAGGTGCTTGTGCTGTACTCAAAATTGCAAGTTTAGTCCAAGTTTTGAAGTCATTTCATATGTGGGACAATGTGAAAATTCGGATCGAAATTGTCATTTTTGTAAAACATAGGGACTAAATCTCTAAGTTAATGTGGTACGACTTTATGTGTTTTTATTTTTTATTTAAAATTAATTTTTTTTTTATAAATATTTGTTATAATTAGTTAATTTTATTACTGACGATGGTTATTAACGATTATATATTAAATACTTTGGCCTCCAAAAATAGTAGTAAGTGGTTTTTGTCTTGTTGTATATTTAATCTTAAATCGTTGTTTTCATAGTATTCTAATGAATTTCCTAATGATATTAGCTATTAGGTAATGGCAGTTAAATGATACATGTGTTTAGCACGTGATGTTCATTATCGTTGTTTTTCATTTTCTTAATATGATTACCTTTTATTTTATTTAATATGTTATAACAAATAAGGAGGACACACCCATGACCCAACCCACCCACCTTACACCACTCATTCCCTATTCCCCTTTGAAGAAGTGGTTAAAAAGTCTTGGAATGGTGTTCTTGATGGCGATGTGTGAGATAAAATGATTGTGTTTAAGAATAAAATTCAACTTTCTAAGCATAGCCTTAAAGTTTGGCATTCATATATGATTGTGTTCAACATTCTTTGACGCCACATGATTTCCATTCGTTAATAATCTTAACGTTAGATACACTTGCGGTCTTGCTAACTTGGTGTTTGGGTCTAAATGGCGTGAGTAGATTAACCATGGCGTCTATGTTACTGAATGGAAGTCATTCAGAAGAATTTCTTCTTAAAAGGAATGACCCTCTTTCTTATTTATTATTTGCATATTCCTTTGCAACATGCCTATGATAATGGGTCCGAAGCTCATGTAGGGTCAAATGGTTTGGTTATCACTCATTTTTTTAAGTTGATGATGTCATATTATTGTATGAATGGCCGGAAATAAATGTAAACAATATCACTCGCATCCTTCGTGTTTTCTATTTAGCATCATGTTTGAAAATAGATTTACATAAATAAATACTATATTTATACTAATGACATCAGTCGCAGTCATGTCAAACACAATACAAGATTTTTTGTTCTGTATAACAAACATACAAATGTGCATGTACAGTTTTTTTTTGCCGCATATTCATTTATTTCCTACTTTGAAGCAACAAGCCATGTGGCATCGAAGTATCCATTTTTTGTTATCTTTAAGTTGTATCGTTCTTTGTTCATCTATAAAGTAAATGCTAGAAAAAAATAACTGATAACAAAAAACTCAACATACCACATATGGAAGTGCCCCAACCCCCCCCCCCCCCCCCTCCGGTGTGCATTGTGTACATGAAAGGAGTAAGAAAGAGGTCGTGTTGCATGAAAATGGCACTTATTGTTGTCACAAATTTCAACCATCTAAAATTGTGCATGCAGTTCCAAGTGCCATCTTTCCTGCGACACGAACCCTTTAACTCCTATTTTTCTTCTTGCATTTATATAAACATTCACACACGAACCATTCTCTCTCTCTCTCTCTCTCTCTCTCTCTCTCATTATGGAGATCTATGGAAGGAGGGAGAGAGTGGGGAGGTATATATAGGAAGGTGATGAGATTTGGCTTCTAATTTGTTTTAAATAATGAAGAGCATATATGGTTGACTTTTGACTCGGTTCTCCTTTAGTTTTCTTCTTGCATACATAGACATCTGACCATATTGTGATGAAAACGTGAAGCGAAATGATTGGCATCAACTTGTGTTAATATTTTTGTTGTTTCTTCAAATCCTCTTTATTTTATTGATGTGAGATGTCTCCCTAGAATCAAAGATTCGCAAGGAACATACGAAAGGGTCCATGTAGTCGAGCTAGTGGCCTTTTAATCAAAGCACCACTTGCAATAAACGATATAATTCATTTCCGGCTTAGTTTTAACTATAATCTATGGATATGGATAATAATTGGGTGGGTATAATGTTATTGGTATTTCTTTTTTCTATTGATATCCATATAAGTTTGTGCTTTGCTTAACTTGCAAATTTAACTTAAAAGTTTCGATTTTAGTCGATCCGTATGCTTTCAAATTCTTCAACCTCAATCTAACTTTAAGTGTTTGTTGTTCTTTCAAATTCTTCAACCTCAATCTAACTTTAAGTGTTTGTTGTTAGAACTGTTATGCATCAACAATGTATAGTTTAATGAAAAAATGTATAATTTAATGAAAAAGTTGAATGAACTTGAATGTATAGTTGACATTCAATGGATTAAACTTATTTGTAGTGAAAAATGCTACATTGACGTTCAATAGATATAGAGTTAAATGATTATTGAACTTTCAGTTAATTTATCATGTTGTGCATATCCGTTAAAAGTATGAGATTTTAGTGTTTTTTATGCATCTTCTTCGTCTTAATATGTGTACAAGAAATGCTCAAAGAAACTCTAAATCGTTACACATGATGCTTTATAAATTGAAATCCTTACCATTTTGGATCAGGATCTAAGCGATTGAAACTATTTGGATTTATATTACTAATATTAAAACGGCTAAAATGACGTAAAAGTGGAACAAGTTCGCAGGGCTAGTTTTGTAATTTTACTTGCTCGTAAAAGGTAAATTGAGAAAAAAAAGAACAAAGAAGAAAAATAAAAACATATTGGGTCATTATTGGGCTTTAATACTCAATCGTCATGGCAAGTTAATGGCCTAATCTAGAAGTATGTCGTATCACTTATGTCATAAATGATAAACCTGATATAATTTAATAGAAAACTAGAGGGGAATCATGCGCGCCGTTGACGCTGTGTTTTGTTTTTTTTTTCCTTATTTCAAGCTGTACCAAATGGTAGAACATAACGGTCGATTCTTTTCATATTAAAAAAAAAAAGAATATTTAATTGTGATAAAAAAGAAAAATGGAAATATGGAATCTCCATGAATAGGATCAAACCTTATTCCATGGTATTTACATTGCTATTTAGTGTATTTTACTCTAGAAAAGAACCAAAAAAGTAAAAATGTTTTGAGATGATTTACCATTTGTTGCAAGCCACGACCAAAAGAAACAATATCTACAGAACCTTCCGTGCTAGGTGTAGTCTGTGGAAAAACGATGCATAATCAAAATATTAGAACCGACCATCAAGATAAACTAAAAGTAATAAAAATCTTATTCTTTATTGGTGGAAGGATCCCATTCGACGGAATTGGAATCTGAGATTCCATTCCATGGTTGAATTGTTTGAAAAAAGTCAAAAATTATCATGTAGTAGAACATGTCTAGCATAAGCAATGAGTAAACGTCTTAAAAGAATTTCTTCCATTATCAGCCAACGCAGGATGGCCTGGAAATGTTGGAGGCAAATCCTGCTTATGAAATAGTACATATGAATTAGGAATTAGGGGTGGCAATAAAAATAATGTTTATTATAATCTAAGAAGTCAAGTTAATTTATAGTGACAACATCGACACATCCCAAATCTATCCAACAAATCCCTTTCACGGATCACACACAGCACAACATACCAAGCACACATTAATTATTTTAACATGATAAAACGTAACATGCTAATATGGTTAATTTGGAAAATTAACAATGAAACCTGATATATAACGTGTCAAAACGGATAATATGGAAAAATATCTTTTTATTTTGTGGTTTGATGGGAAAAAAATATACTTTTAGCTGTCAAACCACAAGATTTCCCAAAATATAATGGTATTTTCTGTAATTTAGCCTAAAATTAATAAAAAAAAAAATACATGGTCATTTGAAACACCTCCAACTCTAGATAAACCAAGAAGAACATGAGATTTGATCTTTTTGACCTGAAAAATACCATAAATTTGTCATCCCCATTTCTAAAGTATATAAATTTTTTAAAAGTGTTTCGTTTCCATATAATTAGTTAAATAAACACAATTATTCCAAAAATTGATATATTACTATACCACTTCAAGAAGATCAGATCCCTCATGGAGTCCTAAACTTTGAAGCTGTCCAATATCTTTAGCAAATGGTGCAACTGTTGAGTCAATACAACCTCTGTCCTTTGTGATCAAACCCTGCATCAAAACAAATTTAAAACTCGATATCCATAATAGCAACGTACTTACGTTTCTCCTTCTTATGTTCTATTCAAATTATTAATCGACTGAAAACAATAGAAAACAAATAAGATGGCAAGTTGGAGGAGGCCATTTGCATAAAATCATACTTCTTTGTCAAATAGGAAAAAAATAAATTTTTGCTTCTGCGCCTGCCATCATTGTAACCGCCTGATAGACCACTTTATGAACACCAAGCCCTGCACTCAAAAGCATACAGCAAGTAGGTTAACATGAATCATAATTTCTGCAAATTACCAACTAATAAAATGAGAGAATGTATGAAAAAAAAGGCAATTTGAATAAAAAAAATAAAATGAAACCATACATTCCACACTACATGAAAAGTAGAATGTTTCAACAAAAACATCAAAAAAAGAAACTATGTTCCAACATGAAGTAAAATTTTTTATTATAAAAATATATTTAAAAACGCAGAAAACATAAACAGAAAACATTTTTTATAAAAAAAGGTGACAACTTTCCTATACATACCCCGTGTTTTTCTTTTCTGTCTATCTTCATAAGATCCGTCAGGTTCTGTAACATGTACAACAGAGTTAACATAAGGTACAACTCGCCAACAATTAAAATATTGTAGAAAAGTAATTTAACCAACAATAGCTCATTTAAATTGGTAAAAAATAATTATAATATATATATATATTAGTTTTTATAACCTGATCATTGATATTTGGTATGTGATTTGTTATTTTTTTAACCAGCCTTGAAAGTGGTCCTTCAACTCTCACACAGTCTTAAAGTACACTGAGCTGGCACCAAGGTGAAATTTCCATGTTTTGTATTATTAAAAAATAAAACTTTTCTTGTAAGTTGGTTTCATACAAATATTAAAAGTTGTTTTTTGCAACTTAAACACGACTCCATCATTTTCAGAAGATATTGTTGGTCGCGTTGAGACAGGAGTAGAAAATGAGGAAGACGTAAAGCCATTGGAGGAGAGGTCCTTTTGGGTTAAATATGTGGGTAATCTTTTTTTTTTTAGCATATGAAGTCCGTGCAAGCGATGATAGAGTAGAAGTAATCTTACCAGTTCTTTGAAGCATTTCATCAAGCAATTGATGTGCGTCATCAAATAAGCCAAATATCAACAACAAAAGTAATCCAACCCCTCTTTCAATGAGTACCTTTTTAATCCACCAAAATCTGAAAATAGAAATACATTTAAGATGATATTCAATTTTACTAAGAAAAACATTTCTTGTTATCAATTGATAACATCATAACAAACAACTGGATTCACTGTCATTATAAATGAAAGAAGACATGATTTTAGAAAGAAAGGGTAGAATTGAAAAACTTATTCTTCCACAACATCCCCTCGCACTTGAACTACTTCAACCAACTCCTTAGGTGGTGTAATCTTTGTAAGAAGAACTTCTGTAAACACAAATTAGATCGTTAAAATGAAACAAAGACATAAAAATGGGTTTTTTTTTGTTGTCAGAATATGGCGATTACCTGTTTATACTCTCTGAATATTTCATCTTTGTTTTCCCATAATCTTTCCCTTTTAGGTCTGGTACTGCAGGTTATTAACCTATTTAAATTGTTACTTCTACTTTCACTGCCTTTATTGTGAGTACAGAATGTTGATGATTAGAAGCAAGGAACAAATTTCTTCAATCGATCATACTATACCTTCAATAAATGAAAAAGAAGAGTTTAGAATAGAAAAAAGACGGATGAATTTACCTTGTATCAGTCGAATGATGGTGAAAGCGGTGGAGGCACATGGGTGTTGTCTTCATGGTTCCTCTTGCAGAAGAAGGGAAGCGAGAACCCCCTGGTTCGCTTTATGTTGCCCACTCTGGATTTCCTTCAACCAAAAACCCTCTTTACCTCTTTTCAACGGACCAGGTGGGCAATATTTGTCCAAATCAAGCGTGTGACACCGACGTTTGCTGTCTGCGTCGTTGGTAGGGTTGCTTCTCGGCGTGGAGACGATGGTTCGATTCTGCCGAGAATAACCAAGGTTGAGAGAAGAGTAACCAAGATTGAGAGAAGAGTGAGAAAGTAATTGGATGAGATAGGCGGTGGCAAATAAATAAACTGCAAAAAATAGTATTCGTCCAAAGGGCGGCAAACGATAAGAAGCGAAGATAAGGACGACAAAACATATGAAGTTGGTGCTGCAGAAAGGAAAGCAAAACCTCAATGTCAAAATAACGAAAACTTAAACTTCCGTCAGTCCGTGGCCATGAAAGAGAAAAAAAGTTATTGTTTCTCAACTTTTTAACGATTAATAGTATATACAATTGTCAAAATATTATGTATATTCCTTTCTTATTAGTTATTAACCATAAAATCAATAATTTTTTTAAATGTAAAAAACAAAAGAAACACAATTATTTCCAGAAAACATAAAAAAAAACCCAGTAGTTGTAATATTACAACAAAATGATATTACGTTGTTAGAAATACAATAAAATTATAATAAAATATTATTATTTTCTGTTCAAAAAATTCATCACATAATAGTTAAGGAGCTATTACTTTTTTCTTAGATTGTGTTTGGTGTGTTATGAACTTATGGTTAGCTAATAAAATAGTTTATTTTTCGAGTTTTTTTAAGTTGTTATGGCAAATCAAAAAGTAGCTAGTTTTTTTTTTCCGAATATATCCTTAATTAAGGGTTATTTCCATAAAAAACCTTATATAACCCAATTTTTATCCATTACTTCTTATTTCAGACCCCAACCCCAAAAGGTCACCAAAAGATAAACTAAGTTTTTTTTTTTTTTTTCAAAATTAACCTAATTTTAACCTATTCCTTATTATTTCATTAATGTAGTCGGTTACCATATGTCCCTAAGCTAAAGGTATTTTCCTATTGAACCGGTTTTGACTATTTTTACATGAAGTTCACAGAGATTACACTTAGAACCATGTACTTCGTAGAGACCCATATTATATAGCCTTGTGAATATTCACCAGATTCCTCATTCGTACGGCTGAACATCACTGCGTATGTTGCATTCTCATTCATCTGCCTGAAACTAATCTTTGTTGGGATTAACACTAACATAAACTTCTTTTGGTGCAACAACTTTAGCAACACATGATGTATATGGTTCTCTAACATTTGTTACTGTCCTTGTAAATGTTTGAGATGATCCAAGTCTAACATGAAATGAAGGATAATTTAACTGGCCTTCTGGTATGCTAGATTTTGTTGAACATTTAATCGGCCCATGTCACTAAATGAAACATGATCTGGTAGAATTCTGCCATCTAATACTCGAATGATTGTAATTTTCCCAAAGTTTGAATCCTTCCAAAAACCAAACTCCTGATGCAATCTCAAGAATGTTGGTGTATGAGTCGTCTGAAGCTTTAAAATTCTTTCTTGGACAAAATTGCAAATATGGTCCTGTGGTTTGTTAATTTCTATGGGTAAGGTCCAAAAAAAAGTTTATTACCAAAAAAAGTCCCTATTTGATGGTTTTATTGCGGTTTTGGTCCCAACCTCGTTAAGTTTAACAGCATGGCTGTTAACTTTTGGCAAATGATGGATTTACCACTGGAACCATTTCTGCAGTTTTATATTTTTACCAAACTACAAGACCAATTATGCAATTTTTCTTTTTCATTTTATTGAATTATTATATATTAATTATTTTAATTACTTTTTTCTTTTTAGCTTTTTTCTTATTGTATTATTTTTTTATTGGATTATTATATATTAATAAATATTATTTTTAATATATTATATTTATGTATTAATAAATGTTATTTTTTTAATTATTTTTTTTGAATTTCTTCTTTATTGCATTAATTCTTTTTTATTGAATTATTATATATTAATAAATATTATTTTTAACATATAATATTTATCTATTAATAAGTGTTACTTTTTTAGATAATTAAATTCATTTAATTATTTTTTTTTTAAATTTTTTTATTTCGTTAATTCTTTTGATTGGATTATTATATACTAATAAATATTATTTTTAATATATTATATTTATATATTAATAAATATTAATTTTTATCATTATTTTTTTTTAATTGACTTTTTTTAATTTCTTCTTTATTGTATTAATTCTTTTTTATTGGATTATTATATATTAACAAATATTATTTTTAGTATATAATATTTATCTATTAGTAAGTGTTACTTTATTGGATTATTAATTTCATTTAATTATTATTTTTTAATTTTTTTATTGCATTAGTTCTTTTTATTGGATTATTAATTTAAATTTATTATTTTTATTTATAATAAATAATATTTATTTAATTGTTTTTATTTTATTTTAATTTCTTTCTTTATTGTTTTAAATAAAAATACCAAACACTCCGGGTCAGCTCCTTCATTCGTTGCATTTTTCCACCTTGCGTCGTCGTATCATCTCGCTGGAAATCATCGATCATCGACTACAGTCACCTATTCTCGATGAAAACTACACCCTTTGACTACCCACACAATGTGAAATAAACCCCAGAAAGCATACTTCCTCCAGCCGACCATTCATTACAGATATCACCATCGAATGTGCCAATGTTAGATCGAGGGTTTTCAAACCACCTTAGCCACTACAGGTGGTGAAAAAGTTGTAGAACTCGTTATTGGGTACTCGTTCGGCCGACCGCCGAGTAGCGAATACTCAGATTTGGTAATTCATGTAGAAATATTTTTAGCGAAATTATATATGTCAAAATCATAAGTTTATTGAAATAAATAACAAATTTAGATATATATGAATACACAAAAACTAAAATACGCACGATGATTTCACTTCGTGAATAATTACTGAACTTATATATTTATATATATAGTAATAGGGTTGGAGACGGCCCGATAGTGGTTTGTTGTGACTGAGTGATGGTGGTGGTGTTGTCCAAAATATGTTATCCTCCAAATATTTAAAATAAATTAGAGAATGTGGGGTGGTTATGATTTTTTGGTATTTTTATTTGAAACAATAAAGAAAGAAATTAAAAAATATTAAAACAATTAAAAAATATTAGTATGTAAATAAAAAATAATAAATTTAAATTAATAATCCAATAAAAAGAACTAATGCAATAAAAAAATTAAAAAAAAAATAATTAAATAAAATTAATAACCCAATAAAGTAACACTTACTAACAGATAAATATTATATGCTAAAAATAATATTCGTTACTATATAATAATCCAATAAAAAAGAATTAATGCAATAAAGAAGAAATTAAAAAAAAATCAATTAAAAAAATTAATATTAAAAAATGTAATATTTATTAATATATAAATATAATATATTAAAAATAATATTTATTAATATATAATAATCCAATCAAAACAATTAATGAAATAAAAAAATTAATTAAATGAATTTAATAATCCAATAAAGTAACACTTATTAATAGATAAATATAATATTATATGTTAAAAATAATATTTATTAATATATAATAATCCAACAAAAAAGAATTAATGCAATAAAGAAGAAATTCAAAAAAAAATTAATTAAAAAAAAAGTAATATTTATTAATATATAAATATAATATATTAAAAATAATATTTATTAATATATAATAATCCAATAAAAAAATAATACAATAAAAAAAAAAGATTCAATTATTAATAATTCAATAAAATGAAAAATAAAAATTACATAATTGGTCCTTGTAGTTTGGTAAAAAGATAAAACAGCAGAAATAGTCCCAGGGGTAAATCCATCATTTGCCAAAGTTAACAGCCATGCTATTAAACTTAACGAAGTAGGGACCAAAAAACCACAACAAAACCATCAATTAGGGACATTTTTTGCTAATAAACTTTTTTTTGGACCTTACCCACAGAAATTGACAAACCACAGGGACCATTTTTGCAATTTTGTCTTCTTTCTTTAGGAGTTGATACAAACCCATCTTTTTTTCTCATCGCTTATATATATATATATATATATATATTATATATATATATATATATATATATATATATATATATATATATATTATATATATATATATATATATATCAACGAGTCTTGCTGCAAAACCACTGACAACATTTTGATATGAGTAAAGTAATGGTTCTTCTTTCTCTAAGGATGCGAGACGAAAATGAAGAAATGATCGATGATATATGCTTTGTTGATCTTCATCACTCAGTGTGGATAGAGAAGCTTCAGGTTTCTTTACATGGACAATGTAAGTTTTCAAGACACTAACACTTGTCTTTTCAGAGTCGCTGCCTTGAGCAATAGCATTATCGCAAGAGATAATGTAAAGAGTAAGATCGAAATTAGGAGTGGGTTGATTGACATTTCTAACATGTATTTACAAATCATGGAGAAGACAAAAGGAGGTTTAGACTTTGCTATGGTTTTGATAGAACTTGGTTTAGATGTACGTAGACCCAAAAAGAGTTTGAACAATGAGTATTAATGCGCCTAAAAGGGTATACTATTGCCACATGAAAAATTGCAAAAATGGTCCCTTTGATATGCATTTTTTTTGGGATTTTAGTCCAAACAATGACTTTTTTGGCTTCGTGGTCATTTTGGACTTTTGTATGTGAAAATGGTCTCTCCGAAAATTGAAATGACTAAATTGCCCTCTTGATATATTTTTTTTATGTTTTTTTCTATTTAATTTAATGTTTTATTAATAATAAAATTGGGCCCACACCCCTCTCTCTCTCACACTCTCTCTCTATCTCTCTCTCTCTCTCTATTAGAGTACCCGGTATGGGCCTCAACGAGAAGAGACGAGGCTGAGGTGGCAAGGCGCAACGTCGTCTTAACGGGGGGAACACCGCCCCCCCCCCCAACTCGTTGCAGCTCGTCGCGGTGGATTTCGTGGCCGTTACCACCGGGTGAAACGAGAAAAAATTTGACCGTTGGCGTATTAAACCTTTGACTTAATTAAAAAAAATTAAAATTATTTATTCTTTTCCTATATAAATACCTATTATCTAAACAATTTTTTACACATACCTTCTCTTTTTCTCTCTATATAACCTCAATTATCTTCAAAAAAATTATGGATCCTTTCGACTCGTCCGATGATTCCGATGACGATATATTCTTCAGGATGATGTATCATTATTACACTAACGACCTGCTACACCAGACCCAGCCCCGCTGCTAATGAGACGTGCGATGTTAAACAGAAATCGCGAGGAAGGACACGAGCATCTATACCGCGATTACTTTGCGGATAATTGTGTATACGGGGCGAAGGACTTCAAAAGAAGATTTCGTTTGAGTA